GCCGACGCACGGATGGGGGCTGTGCAAGAGGGGCGCTGGCTGGGAACCGAACCCCGATCTCCCGCACGGAAGGCAGAGAGTCTATCATTGGACCACCACCGCCCCAGCCCGTCCTGAGATCCCCTCGAACAGAGAGAGGCCTTGACCAGCCCTGAGCTGACCGCTGCTAGACACTGGTGCCCAGGTCCCCCTCCACCCTCTGTGGTCCACACGGTGGGGGCATGTTCACTGACCACACCTACCCCATGGAGCCTGCCACCCTGCCCAGGTGCCCAACTCTCCCAGGTGTCTAATTCTGGTCAACTTTCCCACCAGGGCATGTGGTTCAGTTCTTGTAACACATGGTCCTCTGGCCCTGAGCTGCAGCCGGTCTGTTTTCCCCCACACCCCAGGGGCTCTCTCCTGCGTCAGGCACAGTGGGTCATTGGGCGTGTGCGGCTGAGGGTGGGATGAGCCACCTGGGCGGACCTGCCTCCGGGGGTGTGGATGTGGGACAGAAGTGTAAGCACCACGCCACTCTGGATGCAGCCAAAATGCAGTCAGCAGGCGTGCCCGTGACACGGAGCTACCACACTACCGGGAAAGACACACGGGGCAGCCGTACCTCTGCACCCTGGGCTGCGGGGACAGCACCTCTGCACGCTGGGGACACAGCACCTCTGCACGCTGGGGACACAGCACCTGCTCATTATGGGGGCTCACTGCATGTCTTTGAGTTCAGGGAGCACACAGTACCTCTACGCCTTAGGAGCACCCACACCTGTATGCTAGGAATGTACACCACATCTCTGCAGGTTGAGGGGTTCCTCCCATACCGCTGTGAGCTAAAGGGCTGCCCTGCACCTCTATGAGTTAAGGGGTGCCCCATGCCTCTGTGAGTTAAGGGACACTCCACGCCTCTGTGAGTGAAGGGGCACCCCACACCTCTGTGATTTAAGGGGCACCCGCATTCTCGGAGACAAGGGGCAGCATGACCCAGACGAGGCACATTTGGAACATGTCCGTGGCCAATTCGGCTGTGGAGAGCCCACTCTGCCCTGGCCTCCCTCACTGCCACCCTCCGGCCCATCTCCCAGGGCTTTACCTGTGTGGGGTGGGCGCTGGGCCGGGGGCCGGCGTCCCTCCGCAGCCGGTGCTGCAGGCCCCCATTTTCGGAGGGCAGCCCATAGCTGGTGCAGTGCTCAAAGGGCATGTACTGGTACTGGGGGGCACTGCCCCACCAGCTCTGCTCACCCCCCGCTCGCTTACACCCCGGCTGCTCCATAGCCCCCCAGGCCAAGGCCTGCTCCCCGTCTTCCCCCAAGCCGTCTCCTCAAGCCTCTCCTGTCTGTCCCCAAGGCGTCTGGGGCACTGTGCCCACCTCCAGCTATTTATAGCACCCCCCTGTCATCACATGACCCCAGTGCCACATCTGATCTGCTTGGGGTCGAAGCAGGTGTGGGCAGTGCGGTGGGGGCGGGGTGGGGACCTGGGGGAGGCAGGGGAGCCCCAGACAAGCCACTCTTCCTCCATGAGCACTCAGCCTGCAGCCTGGCACAGGCCAGCCACGCCAGGGGCCTCACTCACCTGCCTGCCTCTCCATCTGTCCCTGGCAAGAGGGAGCGGGACTCGGGTCTCCCACACCCAGGCAGGGGGCTCACCTGGGCCAGCAGCCGGTACTGCTCAGCCATCACCGGGCCCTCTCCTGCAGCCTGCGTGGCCTGATCCCCACCACTGCCTCTCATCAAACCTGGACCAGCCTTCCCGGCCACCCAGCTCCGGGCCTTTTCTAGATCTCCCCACCAATCAGCTTGTGCTGTCCTGAACCCCTCCTATCCCCCCGAGGTGCACAGCCTTGGGTTCTGGGGCTCCTCCTGCTTCCCACACCACTGCCAGTCACAGGGCGGCCCATGAGGCAGGTCCATGGCGTGCGGAGGGCGCTCAGGGCTGGGAGCTGCCACGCCCGACAGATGTGGGGATGCTTCCCGTTTCGGGTGATAAACTCCGGGGCCAAGGCCACATGGTGTCCCCAGGATGCCCTCCCTGTGAGCTCCAGGTGACAGCAGGGCCAGAGTGCGGCTCCGTGCCCCTTGCCAGGTGGGTGAGGGCCATTCCACAGCCCAAGTCCAGGGACTGCAGGGTAAGTGGCCCCAGACCTGGCCTGGGTGGACCACACAGGAGACAGGGATCTACAACAGAAGCTTCCAGCACAAGCCTTACCCCTTGAGGCCATAGCCCAGCCGTAGGTGCCCCCCGTGTGACACCCCCTCCCCCCGTGTGACACTGGAGAGACCAGGCTGTGATGATACCACCAGCAGCTGTGTGGGTAGAAAAGGAGGCCCAGGCAGGAGCCCGCCCGGCCATCCTGGCCCGGAACCAGGATGAAGCTCAACCATCAGGCTCAACGCACTGAGGACCACCCTGCCAGTCCCAGCCCTGGGCCTTGGGGGCAGAAGCCGACGCCAGGAACCCTGATGTACAGAGCGTGGTCCAGATGGGGGCGCCCACTGAGGCTCCGGGAGCCCACAGGCCAGTGCTGGAGGGCGAGGTATGAGGCTGAAGATGTGTGTCCAAGATTACGAGTAAAATTTCACAGGGTACCGTCCTGCAGGAGAATGGAAAAACACAATGTGGATGACACTCTCGGGGCCCCCTGCCTGGCCTAGTGCTCAGGTTCTTATTTGGGGGCCTTGAGTGCTTTCTGGGGAGCCCTGTGAAGCATCTGAATGTGGAAGCAAATTCACCAGTGCGTGCACCTGACCTGCATTGTTGGACGCTTAAATGGATCCTCACGGGCTGGTGGAATTGCTGTTTTGAGGGCAAGCTGTGGGGAGTGACCCCACTGACACAGGCAGAGGGGAGTGTGTGCTGGATATAGGGGTGTGTGGGAGACAGCTCACTGGCACCCCACAAACCCAGTTGTCCCAGATCGTCCCTCTGGTCCACTTGTTTCAATTCCCATCTCTCCCCAGTCCAGCCTCCCAACCCTGGTTGGGGGTGCGGATATCACTCTCCAAGGGCACGCCCCCCTCTCTCCTCCAGCAAGGCCCGGACCCCATGCCTCCCACTTGCTGCAGACCTTTCTGTGGGTGGTCACCCTCCTGGCCCCTTGTCTCCCGTAGTGGGCAGCCCTGCTTCTGTCCTCCCGAAGACGTGCTCCCTGACTGGGGCTCACAGGGGATGCCCCCTGGGGCATGGGAAAGTCTAGCTAAAAAGCGGAGACGAGCCCGGGTGGGAGAGCAAGGCAGCCCTGGGACTCAGAGCACAGCCGGGCCCCGGCCTCAGCCCGCTCCTCCACAGACGCGGTGACTGGGGAAGAGACCGAAGGCCACAGCACGCCCGCCCAGGCGTCTGGTCCGAGGAGCCACTGGAGGCCAGTGCTCATCACTGCTCACAGCTCACTCCGCTCCCCAGCACACCTGCGCCTTTAACCCTTCCCCGCGCCTTTCACGGGAGAAACGGCGCCGAGTTCTGGGTGAGGGAAACTGAGGCTCAGAGAGGTTGTTCAAGGCAGGACCGGCACTCAGCCTCAGCTACTCAACCCTAAGTCCAAGCCCAGTGGCGATTCTGCCATCTCCCGCCCTAAGGGCAGAAGCCTGCCCCAGCACCCCGTTTCTTTCATGTGTTCCTCCTCCCTGTGCAGAGAAGTGGGGCGGGCAGCAAGGGCAGCCTCCAGTTCAGGCGGGGTAATTATAGAAGTCACCTGGCAGAGGGCAGGGGGGAAGGGAGTGGAGCTGTGAAACCCGACCTGTCGCCTGGCTCAGCGTGGAGGGCAAGACCTGTCTGTCCTTAGGGGGCGCTCCTCACCCTCCCGTCCCAGGTGCCGGCCTGCAGTGCGGTCATCACCCACACTGCACCCACCTGCTCCAGCCCCACTGCTGGGGTCCCCACGGGCTGCTGCTCGGCTCTCCTCCCTGATTTCCTGGGACCCTGACATACCAGCTGCGGGACCTGGACTCCAGCTGGGGCCAAGTAAGGCAGGAAGCCCACTAACCCTCCCCGCCTACTGCACCCACACCTAAACCACCCAGGACCCACGCGGCCTGCAGCCCGGCCAGGCCCATCGTGGCCCCCCTGTATCGGAAACGGTCCAGAGCACAGGAAGGCGGGTGCTCAGCCGGGGCAAGGGAACACCACAGGGGCTTCAGAGCACGGCCACGCGCAGGACACCAGCACACACCGCTAACACAAATCCCGTTTATTTGGCACCTGATGGCAACAGGGCTGGCAGTGGGCACCCCACCCACGTCCGCAGCACGCCAGCCAAGCGGCTGGGATGGGGAAGCACCCTAAGGTCAGGCCTGACCCCGTGCCAGGCCCCACAGGGAGATGAAAAGCCTACCTCACCTGTGGCTCTGTCTCCACAGAGCCAATCTCAGATCAAACAATACATGTAGGAAGACAGTCTGAAGGCTACACTGTGCATATGGACAACGAAGTGCAAAGGGCCGCTGCCACCAAAGGTGCCGGCAGGGCTACCACCGAGCAGGATGGGGCAAACGAGGGAATGAAGCAAATATTCAACCACGTGGTCAGTGTGGCTACAGGAGACCCTCTGACCCAGAAGCACCTGACACACCTCCCTGAGGTGGTGAGTGGTCCCAAAGCTGAGATGTGAATTGTGAAATGAGACACCAGCCCAGCACAGGGTGCCAGTGGTGGGGCTCTGGCCCAGGAGCAAGGCCTGCAAGGGGCCAGGCCAGGAGCACACAGTATGTCTGCAGTGGTCCCAGGCTGCAGGTCCTGAGGCTCCGGAAAAACAGCCAGCTCTCCCGGGCTGACGAGCCAGGTGAGGGGTGGCACTGTCTCCGAGGATGAGCCGAGGAGCAAAGGGTTCCAAGCCTGGCAGTGTTCTGATCAGCTGTGTGTGTCAGAAAGCCACCCTTTGGCCGCAGGAACACCATGGGAGGCGTTCAACAGCAGCTGGAAGTGCAGGGGTCCCACAAGCAGAGGTCAAGAGGCCTCTGCGTGGCAGGAGTGAGAGGAGCCACAGCAGCAGGTCCACGGGCACTCGGGGAGCGAAAGCTCGGCTGTTCACACCCACCCAGCAGCGCCACAGAAGTCTGGCCACCTGCTCTGTGAGGAGCGCAGCCCGGAAAACCCACGGGCAGTTCTCCGCCGCCACCCGGGTCACCGTGAGGCAGAACCAACGCTGCGGCAACCGGTCTGGATTCCTGGTTTTATGGCAGTGGCCTTGCAGGGACGGGGCTGGGCTGGGGCGGGAAGGTCACAGCATCAGAGGCACGCAATACTGGGGCAGAACCAGGCCGTCAAGTCACACCCTCCAAGAGCCAGGGACCTGGGGAGGAGGGTTCCAGGCCGGGCTGGTGGGGCAGTGCACGCTGTGTGAAACAGAGAACGGTTGCAGGCCCACACACAGGGCCCACCACAGGTGGCGGTGGGGGCGGGGAGCACACCGCCCCGTCAGCTACATGACTCTCGCTCGAGTTCACTCGGGAACCGGTAAGGGAAGGACCACCACCAAGGTCTGAGGGCTCCTGCCATGTGCCGACACGTGGCTCGCAGGCCTGAGGGACCCTGCAGTGTCAGTGTGCCATGGCTGGCTTTTCAAAACTAAGTGGAGGACACCTGGCGATGTGGGACACCCATACTCCGGGACACGGGGTCAGCGACAGGAAAGGAAGAGAGGAGGGTGTGAGCCCAGGCTGGCAGGCCCCCGACGCTGGGCAGACAGGCACACACCGAGCTCAGACCTGCACCCTCCCCACGGGACACGCACCACCCCACTCGCTGCGGCCACATCCTCCTGGAGGAGGTCCAGCCCAGGGGGCTCTGGGCGTCCACTTGGTGAGGTGACAGGCAGGTGGAGCAGGCCTGGGGGCCCACACCTGAGGGGGAACAGGAGCCAGCGCCCTGAGACGGCTCTGCTGTACCCCCAAGTCCAGGGCTTGTGGCCGACACTGGGTCACGTGGGGGGGTACCCTGGGAACAGGTAGAGGTGGCGGCACAGGGTACTGCAGTACTCGGACATCTCCTTGCAGCGATGGAACTCGGTGCCAGGGGCATAGCCTTCCCGCTGCTTGATGACCGCGTTCACCTGCAGGGATGGCAGCCACAGGTCAACGTCTGGGCAGATGCTTAGGGGGCAGCCAGTGGAGGACGGAGGGAGCAGGAAGGACAGGCGAGGCAGGCGGGAGTTGCAGGAAGCTCTGGGCAGCTGACTCACCTCCACCAGCATGTCGGCCACATGCATGTCACAGGCCCGCTCGGAGAACACGCGGGCCAGTGCCTCAACGTACCAGGACCCACGCTTGGTGTTCCTCATGGCGGCTGTGCCTACAACCAGGGCGCATCAGCCACATCAGCCAGCGTAACGTGGTGTGCACAGCACGGGCCCTCCCGCACGAGTCCCTCCCAGCAGTCGTGTGGTACCTCTGAGGCAGGCGTATCCGCAGATCATGTCCGAGCGCGTGGGCAGCCGCGTCTTCAGCAGCCCCTCTGGGCCACCGGCATCACTCTTTTCACCCCCAGGGGACCGCACCTGGCCCTTCCCATCCTGCTGGTCGACCCCAAGGTCCGTCTCATCTGCAGGATAGACAGATGGACAAAGGTCACTTCCTGACATCTCTCCTGGGCCCGTTTCAGGCAAGCCTAGGGTCCATGTGACACTGAATGGGAAGAGTCACTTCCAACTGCTGCCTCCAACCTGTGGCCGAGGGATAAGAAGTCATTACAGCCACCCCTCCCCGAAGCACCCAATTCTCAGCACCACTTGCCACGGGCCCGCACATGCACACGTGTGCACCTATATACACGGCCTGTACTCACTCATGACTATGAGACAGAGACGAGCTAGAATGAACACACACACGTGTACATGTACACACACACACACACACACACACAGCCTGGGCTTGTCCATGGCATGTACAACCAGAAGGGCAATGCGTCAGATGCTCCCTGTCACAGGACCGACCCACGAACACCTCTGCTTATGGTCACTTGTACTGTTACCAGTGCATCTGGGAGTGACAGGGCTTTTTACTGCATATACGATAAACACTGATAGTTTATCACACAGACGAGAAAAACATGTCCGTGAATCACAGCTGTGCCAGCTATGCGGACAGCACATAGTCACGATCCCAAATCTGTGACCCTTCCATAAAAAGAGGGAAGCCGAGACAGAGTGGCCGGCTGTCACCTGATGCTTTGGACATGGTCTGTCAATAACTGACTCGATTATTCCTTTCAAAAAACAATCAAAGGCACCTAAGATTGCAGAGAAACTCAAAAGAGGAGCACCACAGAACTGGAGAATGAGACCATGTTTCTTCCCCCCGCAGTGAGAACAGAACCCGTTCCTCAGTTCAGCAGTTCCCCGAGGCCGTATTTCTGCTGTGGTTTGCACAGGGCATTGGTGGGAAAGGGACTGCAGGACTGGGCCGGACGCACAAGATGAGAGCACGTGGCTCCATCTGATTTCCCAGATTCCAGAAAGATGAAGCAACTGCCACGGCCAGGCTGGTCCACCGTCAGCCCTGGAGGTGCAGTGGAGGCAGCAAGGCCTCTTCCAGGCTCGGGAGACATAGCAGGACAACCGCAAGCTCTGAGGTGACAGTGGCCACTGTCACCTCACAGGACTGAACCGTTGGGAACACAGGGGAGGGCAGAGCAGACTGTGGCCCCAGAAAGGACGTGCCCCCCACACAGCGGCGTCACGCAGCTTCTCACTGGAAGCACCTCCCAAAGGGACTCGGCCGCTGTCAGGAAGGACAGGAAGGAGCCCCTCCTGCCTCCACATCCCGCTCCCATCGCCTGTTCTTCACAAAACCCCTCCTCTGTCTCTACCTCCCCTATTGCTGTGTTTTCGCAAGCAAACTGCCGTCCACCCATTACTATGAATTAAGGGCCACCAAGTGCTGGGCAGTTCTGGGCCTGGGCACCTAGCAGTCACAAGAACCAAGTCGCGAGGACCTACACAGGGCGCAGGGGTCGTCCTGTGGGCTGTCATCCTGGGAAAGTGCAGCACGGTCTCCCCTCCTGCCCCCAGCAGCCCCCATTACAAACTCCACCTCCACGACCAGCCGCACCAACCACACGGCTCACTTATAAACTCGGTCCCCATCAGATCAGACCCGGGCCTGCTGGGCTCAGAGCACCAGAGGGGGAGGGGCCTGCCGTGCTGCACCACACTCTCTCACAAAGGGTCTCGGTACCAGCTGCCCCTGGTTGGCTCTGACTCACGACGACCCCACACGCGTCAGAGCAGACCTGTGCTCCACGGGGTTTACAATGGCTGATTTTTCAGGAGATGGCCTTTTGTCCCAGGCATCTCTGAGAGGATGTGAACTGCCAGACTCTCCGTTAGTAGCCAGGCACAAGGCCACCCACCGCCTGTACCACCTGAGGATCCTCCTCTGCTGCTGTAAACCCATCGCCACTGAGAGGATCTCAATCCACAGTGCCTCACGCAACAGGGAGAATGCCCATCCCGGTCACTGAGAGGATCCTGACCCATGGCCACTCCACATGACAGAGAGAGCATCCAACTCAGTCAGAGAAGATTGTGACCCACAGTACCCCCAAGCAACAGAGAACACCCAACCCAGTCACTGAGAGGATTCTGACCCACAGCCACCCCCATGTGACGGAGAGAACAGCCCCTTAGAATTTCATCTTTACAGGAGCAGACTGCCAGGTCTTTCTCTGGCAGAGCAGTTAGTGGGTTTGAACTACCAACCTTTCAGTTAGCAGCCAACTGCTTAACCCCCGCACCACCAGGGCTCTTCATATGCTATCCCATACCTGTGTAAAGCCTATCTTGGGGCCAAACTCAGACTTCTACCACCCACGGAGTCTCGTCATCACACTTTAACCAGCCTCAGGCTCTCCCTCACCACAGGGCTTCCCTCCATAGAGGCGGCCGCTCCCTCCCTCGCCACCTGGGCCTCTGTGCTCCCGCAGCTCTCCAGCCGCTTCTCAGGGTCCTTTGCTTCTCCTTCCTCAGCACTGAGGAGCCCGTGTGGACCGAGCCTGGTGCCCCTCACTGCTACAGCCCCTAGTGTCCAGCATGGCTCTGGTCCCATGCCAGGATGAGCCCGTGCTGACTGATATCCTGCACTCTTTGACCCTGACCCCAAAGCTTTCCCCAGAATAAGACGCACACCTGCCCGCCCTGTGCATGCCATCCCGGCCCTGGCTCAGTGGCCAGCCAGGCAGTACGCACGAAAAAGGGAAGCACGGCCAGGAAGAGGCAGGGTGCAAGGCTGCCGGGCACCCTCCCTACAGACGCAGGTGACAGGAGAAGAAGGGGCGAGGCCGAGTACAGGTGAGAGGGGGAGCAAGAAGGGAGAGCAAAGGCAGAGAGAGCAGAAGAGGAGAAAGGAAGGGAACAGCGTGATTGGGACAGCAAGGGGAGCCAGAGAGAGCCCTACACCTGGATGAGTGACAGGAAAAAGGTGTCCTTGGTGGCGAGCACAGGAGCGCGTGCAGGTTCTCAGGAAAGACGGCAGAGACGCTGCCAAGAGCGCCTGGGCCAGTGCAGGGCTGCACGGAGAGCTGATGGCCTGGGCCTCGGGGCCCGAGCCCCGCACCCCATGCATCGGAGACACTTACAGAGCAAGAGAGGCGGTGGCAGCAGGGAACAGAAGGAGGTGCCCGAGGGGTCCGATAGCACCTGAGAGGAGCAAACAGGACAGTGAGAGCTGGCGGGGGCCGCCAGAGCCGCCACCCAGCGCCACCGGCGGGCACTCACCTCCGCGACAGGCCTGGACGAAGAACATCTTAGGCTTGTTCTGCAGGTTCGGGCAGCTGGCGTTGTTGAAGAGCCGGAAGACCTCCTGCAGCTGCAGGGAGTGATGAGGAGGTGAGCAGCCCCTTGGGCCTCCCAGTGCGCCCCGACGCTGGGGAGATGGGCGGGCAGCAGTGCCCTGCCACTGTCAACACACACCTGAAGCAGTTTGCCGTCCACCCCGTAGATGGCACCCTCTATCCCGTGCGAGAGCAGCGCCACGATGCAGGAGTCGGTGAGGCGGTGCGCGGGCAGCTGGGCAAAGCTCTGCAGCTTCTCCTGCATCTCCTGAAAGAAAAACACCTCTGAGCGCTCACGGCAGTCAGCGTCAGTGCCTACTTTTCCAGGCTGTTCTCTGGTGTGGGTCTTAGGCCCCGAGCCAGCACCTCTGAGCACTCACTGCAATCAGCACTAGGGCCTGCTTCTATGGGCTGTTCTCTGGTGTGGGTCTTAGGCCCCGAGCCAGCACCTCTGAGCACTCACTGCAATCAGCACTAGGGCCTGCTTCTATGGGCTGTTCTCTGGTGTGGGTCTGAGGTCCCAAGCCAGCGGAAGATAAAATGCTTTAGGTACATCCCCATGATAAATCTGTGAAAAGCTGCAGACTTCATAAAGCAGACCACAATATCCTGAGCAGACTGCCAGAATTCACACACAGTGAGATACAGGAACGGCTCCTGGACCAAGCTATACCTGATACCGTTACCCCCGAGCAGCCCTGACCTCCAGCTCCCTCACTACAAGTGCCCTGAAAGGCACGAGGGGCCAGTGGTGTGCACGAGTGAGCCTGCAGCATGCTCTCCAGGGACAAGACACTGCTCTGGGGCAGGGGGTCAACAGCACCACTGTGTGCCAGAGGCAGGCAACCTGAGGACAGGGCTCTGCATGCAGGGTGCCCGAGGCGATGCCCAGGCTGGGGTCAGGCAAGTCCTGGTTGGAATCCTCTCTCAAACACCGGAACAAGGTACTGAGCCCCTCAAGCCTCCGATTCTCACTTTATAAGAACATTAACGGTACTCTTCTCTATTTGTGAAGGACTTTTGAAACCAGACTACGTTTGTTGTGATTGGTTCCCACTGCACGCCCGACAAAGGGTAATCACGTTACCACGTCTTTCAAAGAAGCAACTCAGGCTTGCCGTGTGCAAAGCTGCCAACCATGAACGCCCCTCTACCATGAGCCCAGGGCCCATCCAGCACCAAGGTGGACGGCGTCCAAGAACAAACTGACGTGAGCATTCCAACTTGTCTTCCCGACAGCTCCACGTGCTCGCCACCTCTCCTCACTGTATGACGGATCTGGGCAAGACTCAACTAAGGTGCCGAGCATGCAATCCACGCAAGAAGTGACAGCACACACCAAGACACACACACATGTCCAATATGCCACCATGGTCCCCAGAGCAGTCCCTGAAGCAGCAGCAGCATCCAGAGCCATGAGAAGGAAGTGCCACCTCAGGCCCCACCCAGAGCCAACAACCTCTCCAGGGGACCCGCTGAAGAGTGACAGCTACTCATCAGTTTGTGTGCAATACAGGTAGCCCATGCTGTGATCGAGCTTATCCCTTGGTGCATCTCTAAGTGGAATCAGTAAGTCAAGCAGAACAGCTGTACCTTGTTCCCAGAAGCCTCCCTTTGCTGCAAGGAAAGCCTTCAAGCCTCGTCCAGGATTTGAAACTGTCCGGGCAGTAAGCGGAAGTAGCTGTGATGACGAATTTGTTGCATGAAGGGGTTGCTTTGATTGTTTCAAAGAGAAGGCACATTTCTATCACATGCAAGGGCAAGTACAAGTTGTCCGTTGCCCATTACATGGGGACTTGCTGTACTCTGCAGATCCAAGGCTTAAATACACAAGATTCAAACATCTGTGACTGGACTGGAATGGGGACGTGGCTTCCACGGTAAGATGTGCACGGTCTAGGTAAACAGGAGCCAAGCCCGACCACGTTAACAGGAGCTCCAAGGTAATGAATGCTATCAAAATCCATCTGCTTCGAGAGTTCCGGCAAGATGGCAGACTAGGCAGAAGGACTGCACAGACCCTCTTCAACAAAGACAAGGGAAACCAATTAACACAGACACAGAAGATAATCTTGGACCCCTGAGCCTTGAAGGGAAGGATACAGAAGTAGACTAAACCCCAACTAGCAGAA